TAGTTTAATGCCAAAATTTAGAAACTGGAATATAAAAAATTTAGTAGGAATCAACTTAAACCGATACATACCAAAAAATTCAGTACATTACAATGATGTCAATGCATTTAACTGATACATACTAATACATTCAATTGATACGGACATGAAATTCAACTGATAAAGTCCAATACAATACAAACTCTTAAAACGTGAAAAAAAACCAATACACAGAAAATTACAAAACACATCACATTCAAAAAAAAAATCCACTTCAAGATCTTCTTCATTTGACTTTGAAGTTCAATCAACTATTTCCTTAATTATTCATTTGTCATCCTAACTTTTTCAAACTTCATTTTTGCATCATCAATTTCCTTTGTTAACTTTTCCAACCCAGTCATCATAAATTCCCTTTTCTCATCTTCCACATCCTTATAGAACCATTAGAAATAGTCACACCTAGCTTGCAAAGACACATGAAATTTACATAGATTAAAGTTCATAGAATGGAAGTTCAAATTGAAATTAGTGTACCCAGAATTGTACATACAACTTGCATACTTTAAAATGTGGACAACCCCGTAAATATTTTTCCAAAATTCTTAGTCGTGGTTGTCCTACGTAGAACAGTTTTGTCTCCACAATGGAAAAAAAAGTTTTCGTGGCAGATTTAAGCTCGTGTATAGATTGAAATCCAAGCTTTCAAAGCTCTTCTATTTCAATATGGATGAACAATGGTCGGGTTTCATTATTGCTTCAGCACTAACCTTTAATTTCTGAAAAATCGATGAACAATTTCAGAAAAAATCCTAAACCCTAATTCAAATTTGAGATGTAAACCCTATAGAACTCAGTCAATATAAAGAAGATGACGTTCAACTGCCAACTCAGCTACCACACATACACTCATAAACATATATTTGCATGAAATATTAATAGACAGAAAAGACTCATTTGCCTCAATTCTAATAGTTAATGGATCAATTTGAGTATTTTAAAAATTATGGGACCAAACTTGATCTTGAGATAAAGCTAATGGACAAAAAATATTTTTCCAAAGCAAATCATTAAAACTATATATGTATATGCAATCATATTCTATTTTTAGTAATTAAATTTTTAGTTGTTAAATATAATTACTTTTTTTTCCTAAAAAATAAAACTTCTTTTGTTTTTTGAAGGGCTAATTAATCAATTATACCGGTTTTTAAAAATCTGTGCAACTGTAACCACCGTAACAGAACCAAAATTGCGGTTGTTACATTTTGCGTTCCATTCTCTCCGATTATTCAAACCCTAATCTGCCTCTCGGATCCCAAATCGCTGCAATGTCCAATTCGATTCTTCATCTCGCAATTCTCACCCTCGCATTGACGTGCAGTCTCGTGAATTCGATGAGGTTTGAGCTTAAATCGGGTCACACTAAGTGCATTTCAGAAAATATCATGAACAATGCCATGACGGTTGGAAAGTACAATGTCGTTAATCCTTATGAAGGCCAACCAGTTCCTGATACCCACAGGATCACGCTCAAGGTAACAAAAGACATTGATTCAATTTCGATTGTGTGTCGAATTTAAGTTAATTTGTTATTTGAATGTTTATCCACACATAAATTAAACGTAATCACAAATATCAGTTTCAGATAGAGACATTGATATCAGTTTCTGATAGAGAGACATTGATACAGGAAAACATTTTTTCCAGAAATGTTAGTGCTACAGAAATTGGGGGATGGCATTGATTCTCAAATGGAAATGTTTTTGATTGTTTGTGATTTATTTTGAGTTATAATAACAAACTTTCTTAATTTGGAGTGTTTCACAAGCTAAGATATTCGACGTCACACGACGCTCTTAATAATTTAAGAAAATATAACTGATTGTATGTAATCACAAGTGGCAGTGTCGTGTTAATATGTATGACACTGACATGTGTTGGACACTGAGACATGTTGTCTACAATCTGAAGTGTAGGTGGTATATAGGTGTTGAGGCTTGACTTTGTTGTTTGTGTGTTGTTTGCCAATGAAAGGTGAGTTCTCCTCAAGGGAACAGTAATCACTATGGGGATCACGTGGAGTCGGGTATTTTTGCATTTACTGCAACTGAAACCGGTGACTACACGGCTTGCTTTTGGATACCGGATAGTAGGATGGCCCCGTCAGTTGTGACCGTTGAGTTTGAATGGAGATCTGGGGTTGCTGCCAAAGACTGGTCTAAGGTTGCCAAGAAAGGGCAGGTTGAAGTAAGTATCATTGTTCTTTTTGTTTCTTCACTTTGCATTCGGACATGTACTATTGGTAATAATCTGTCCTCATTATTGCATTTTAGCTCTGTCTGCGATGTGCTTTAGTGCAAATAATTACGTAGCCAATCCTGGCATGAGCCCAATGGCTTTGTTTGAAACATGTAGCCAATGCCACCCAATGGATCCATTTGCAACTCTAAATTTTTTGCTTGGATGGTGTTTCTTTACCTTAAATCAAATATAATACTTAGTGCCCAAATGAATTTTCACATGCTATTTAAATGATTTTGGATGCTTGTCCGATTTTAAATGATTCTACGCTGCTTCATTTCCATTCTATCATGAATGCACTAGTACAGAGTTGTACTGTCATGGTATAGTTGGTAACTGTTGATAATGAATTGGGGGATGATATCATAATGTTCTTGGCTTCCCTTATTGGCACTTTTAATTTTTTAAAATCTTAGCTTAGTTTTTTTATTCGGCCATTTCTTCTGTGATGTACTGCGCAAACATTCCCATGAAAAGCTCTGCAACCGGAGTTTCCTGAAAATGTGGTTCACTTCAGGCTGTGTCCATAGAGAAAACAAGAAATGGCATAGCCTGTATGAGAAAGAATGTGCCAGTAACCTGGTTTGCGTTATATCTCGGTTTTGAATGGAACTTTTATCTTAGCTATTCCATTCCTTACATTTGGCTGTGTATTTTTCTTGCTTAAAATATCAAATCCCTCAAGTGAGAATGTTTTGCAGTATCATTGTTTGTTTCTTTCGTTATAATTCTTCGTTTGTTACCTACAAAGTTTATTATGAATAAACACAAACCAATGAGCTGATTTCTAACTACCACCCTAATTTGTTTCACCTTTGTATGTTATAGGTACTTCTGATGTATAGATTTAAAGTATTTTGTTCTTCGAAGTTTGTTAATATGTTATATCTTCCCACTTCTAGGTAATGGAATTTGAGTTGAAGAAGCTGTATGATGCCGTTTCATCCATACACGATGAGATGTTTTATCTTCGCGAAAGGTGTAAATGTCATAACTTCTGCTAACTACTCTCTTGATATTACCACATCATTCTTCTACTATGTTATAGTTGTCCTGTGATCTTTTGATGCAAATGGTGTTTTGTCGAGTTCATTCAAAATTTCTTTTAATGTGATGCATCAACTATTTCTATATGTTATCCTGTATGGTTCTCATGAGTGGACAGTGATAAGCTAAGATAGAAAGAAAATAGTTTTATATCAAAGATAGCATGCTTCTATTTTATGTTTAAAGTTTGGAAATTTGGCTCTGGTTTTTCATTCTAATCGTTTTTCCCTGAACTTTCATGACCGACATAGGGAAGAAGAAATGCAAGATCTTAACAAAGCAACCAACTCCAAGATGTTTACCTTCGGTTTCCTTTCAATTGTGGTTTGCATTTCTGTCGCCGGTATACAGCTATGGCATTTGAAGACATTCTTTGAGAGGAAAAAGCTCCTCTAAGTTCCTTCACACACACTTTGTTCGATTTGTTTCTTTATTTTATTAATTCATGTTGCCTGTCTGTTCCTTGTGTATTCAAATATCTGATTAGTCCATCATCTTTATCTTTTACAATTTTACAATTTATTGGTAGATATTAGAAACACCTGTTACATTTTCAAAGTTCTTTCATTTAGAATCCTAGTAGTTATTCTTTTAGACTCAATCTGAGAAGTGTTTATTCTTTGATAGAAAATTCCATGAGACCTTTCAAAATACAAATGATAAAAGCAATCATTTGAAGATATCTTATATATCTGATATCCGTACACAGCTATCAATTGAATTGATTTAATAAAATTATAATTTGAAGATATGAAATATATTAAAGAGTTTCTTTTTAAAATAGTAATTTTTTCTCCGCATGAGTAAAAGATTCAACTTGTGATCACATTGTTAAGGACTTACCACTCAAATCATGCCAAATGCTTCTATCTTATGCAAAGGCATTGGATATGTGCACACTTCATTATCACCACTTGGTCTAAAATGTTTAGTTAGACTTTGATTTGTGATAATGAAAATTGATTTCGAATGAACTTAATTTATAAGATTGATTAGAGTTAAAAGTGAATTAATTTGTATTTGATTATCCATTGATAAAAAATGATTTTGAATGAATTAATTATGTAAAATTGATTCAACATAAAAATATAAAAGTAACTCAAGGTTAAAGTGATCTATATTTGAATATTTTCATTCAAAAGTGAATTTATCAATAAATTTTAATATTAACATTACCTTTAGACTCAAAATTTACGAATTTTAAATTCAAATTCAATAAATTTTAATAATAGAATCAATTCTATTTTATAAAAATCAAAGATATTAAAATCAAGGCAAAATCACCTTTTTTAGGTTCGTTTTGGTCCAATGCAACCTAAAATGTCCACACTTATTATAACAAACTTGGTTGTAATGTCACTTATCAAACTAAATAAGCATAGTGTATCCGTAGAATGCATTGAGAGGCAAAATCATACAAGGTGTAATCAAATTCAAACTTTACCAAACATATAGTGTAACACAACAACTCAAACATTAGGGTTATTATAATAACTCAAAAGCCAAACAACAAAACATTTAGTTTAGAACAAAAGTTCTGAAAGCTCAAGACTTCATACATAGTATAGTCCAAAAAAAAGAAGAAAGTATGATATGTGTCAACCCTTTATTTAATAGGTAACTATGGGATGACTTCCACGCTCGCACCCAACAAACTTTGGTCTTTTTGTTTACTCGTCATCATCATAGCTCTTGCGATGGTGACTCTTGTGGTGATGCTTCTTCCTCCCATCATCGTCATCGGAGTTATCATCTCCTCCCTGCCATGGTACAAAAACATCAGTTGATGAATACCAACCAAAATAACTTCTAGACATGTTAAGAATTACTTTTATAGTCTCTGCCAAACATTTACACAAGCGTTCGTGTCAAAAGAACAATATAAGTAAAAAACCCTACACTATACGAAACTACCAATCAGTTCAAGCAGTTACACTATAATAATGATTCAAGTGAATCATCATACACATAATTTAAACCAGAGTAAGGTAAACTATTAGACAAGAAAAAAAATGCAATTTTTCTCAAGAATTCGAACAATGGCAATTACTAATTCACGTAGTTAAACACTAGATCCTACCTAGGATTGGGAGGGGGTGAAAGATCATAACGCAACGTAGTCAAGCACGATATCTTAAGTAGGATCAGTCAGCTTGTGAAAGATCGTAAAACTCAGATGATTAGCAAAGCACATAAAACCCTACCGAAGGGAAATGGTAATTTCTTATATGTTTTTACACACACATACACAAAAACATGAAAATTATAATTCAGACGAAGAAAAAAGCTCAGCTGGACCACACTGACAATGAAAACAAGCTTTCTCTGATCGTAGCACATTGGCACGTAAGATCTTATGATCCAGCACCCGATCTTAACTACACTGTGTAACGGAGGATCATAATTCATAACACAAAAGTGTACTTGTATACACACACAAACATACATAAAAAATGTCACAGGTGAAGAAAACAACCTCTAAATCACAATATTAAACTAAGATAATCAAAATTCATAACCATAATAAGTCCATAAGTAAGAGTACTCACATATTTCTTACGTCCATAGCTAGGTTTCTCATCATCATTATCATCATCATCACCACCGCGACGCCTTTCCGGACGCTCATAACCATAGCTAGGTTTCTCCTCATCATCACCCCTTCCATAGCTAGGTTTCTCCTCATCATCACCCCTTCCATAGCTAGGTTTCACCTCATACTCACTCCTTCCATAGCTAGGTTTCTCCTCATACTCACTCCTCCCGTAGCTAGGTTTTGCTTCATACTCATTCCTTCCTCCTCCATACCCCTCTTCCTCCCCATAACCACTCTTCTTCCTCCCACCATACCCGGATCCATATTCCGATCCACCAGTCTCACCATATTCAGTCTTCCTCCCATAACCTTGATTCTCCTCCTCATTCCTCCCATATTCTTGCTTCCTCCCACCATACCCAGATCCACCATATTCAGATTCCCCTTCATTTCCACCATATCCAGAATCTTGCTTCCTTCCACCATAACCAGACCCATATTCAGATTCCTGACCCCCACCTCCATACCCAGATCCAGAATCTTGCTTCCTTCCACCGTATCCAGACCCATATTCAGATTCCTGACCCCCACCACCATAACCAGCACCAGATCCAGGGTTAAAACCAGCAGGAGCAGGTCTAGGTTTAGGACGAGAATAGCTACTATATTCAGTAGCAAGAGCTTCATCGCCATAAGCAGAAGGTTCAGATTGAGACGAAAACTGAGGACGATCATAATCAAATTCATCATTGGAAGCACCTGATGGGTAGCATGTTTCTTCAGATGGCGGAATTGGACGACCGTAGGTAAGGTGAATGTCGTAACCTCCACCGTATGGTGTTGGGTCGTATTCGTCGAAATCGTCGACGCTTTCGTCTCTGTTTCCACCTCTTGAAAAATACGCCATTTTTCGAACTCTCTTTGATTTCAGATCGCAGAATTGAACTAAACGATTTGGGATTCAAAGTGTTATTTATTTGTCGGAAAAAACACTGGTTGAGAATTTTTCGATTGGACACGTGGATCCGTGTTTAGTGGGTCATAACCAAATCATGTCCTTTATTTTTTTAACTACAATTTATTTCCTTTTTAATATTAAATATAATTATTTTCTAATGACGTTTTTTTTTTTATAAAAAAACTCCCTCTCATTATTTTTCACTCTCGATAAGTTTAAATTACAATTTCACTATTCAATAATTATAAATTTATACTTTGAAAATTACAATTTCACTATTCAATAATTATAAATTTATATTTTAAAAAATTCTATGAAAATATTGGTTAGTGAACTATTTTTTAAAATAATAATAATAATAATAATAATAATAATAATAATAATAATAATGGTCATAGTAAAAAAGTTTTTAAAATAGAATTTTTTTAATAAATAATTCAAAATTAACTAAAATATTTAAAGAATATAATCAAAGTAATTTTTTTTAATTCAAAAACTTTTTTAAGATAAATAAATTATAAAATTAATTTATACTCTCGATGCATCATCCTTTTCTTGTAACATAATTTTATAAAGCAAAATCTTATATATAAAATGTTTTTTATTAGTTTTTTTTTTTAAATATTTTTAAAGTTTGGTAAATACTTTTTTAAATTTAATAGAGCAAGACATTTTATTAAAGTGGTTCCATATATTTTTAATTTATAATTAAGTTGAAATTTGAATTATTTATAATATTATATTATTATATTGTTTATATATAATAATCTTAATATGTAACAAATTTGTAAGAATTTATGAGTTTATGTCATTTAAATAAAATTAATTGATCGAGAAGTTCAAGTTTGACTATTTTAAAATAAGTAAAGTCGTTTGAATTACTTTGATAAGTTAGACTATGAGTTGAAAATGAGTTGAGTCGAGTCGAATTTGTCTTACCTCAGTTTGACTCGTTAAAAATTAGTTTAGCTTAAATCTCGGTTTGAGTTCAACACAATTTTTTTTTAGCTCAAATTCAACTCGTTATAAGTTTACAAACAACTCAATTCAAATCGTTAGGTTCATCTCATTAGGTTCAGTTCAGTTGCTTCACAGATTTAAAAACCATTTTTTAATTCTATTTTTCTTACATATAGAACACTTTAAATTAATATTTTTTTAAATAGAAAATATAGAATAAATAAATTTTATAATTTTAAAGTTATTTTCTTAAAAGACATAATTTAGATAATGTTGATGTTAATTTTATTTGTACAATTATTTTTAGAAATATTTTCCTCACGTGATAATATAAATTATCAATTAAAACATGTAGAACAAAAGAAAATATAGGTCTACGATTTGGAGAAAATCTTTAAACCTATTCTTAAAGACAATATAATCCATCTCATATATAACCGACTTGGTTCATGAACCTAACAAGTTGAACTATGTACAGTCTAAGTTCAACTCATTTAGTTAACGAACTTATTTTTTTGCTCATATTCAACTCATTTGGATCATGAACCTAGTTCAACGATTTAATTGTAGAATCGAGTTTCGAACTATTTTCGAGTTGATTCGGTTCATTGTCAGCCCTAGTTAGACTTAGACCATAAATTGTTTTGGATTTTTATTAAAAATTATAATTTATTGATCATTATTGTTATTTGTTACATCAAGCACGTTTGTTTCTTTGGCCCATTTAGTAGGATTGTCGACCCTATTACCCATATCATAAATCAATATTTGTCTACGTAAAGAATGAACTCCTTATTTTGGTTTCTAGGTAAGTATGAAACCCTAGTTTCTCTGAAATTCAAACAACACTACTGAAATCTCAGAATTAATTCCCCCAATGTTTCAGGGTATTTTAGTTTTACCATCATTCATCAAGTTGACTAGATCAAATAATCGAAGTAGAACATGATTTTATGAAACCCCTCTTTTCTAGCTTTCTTTGCTATAATAACCATCACCATCACTTCAGGTTCCATCAAATATTTTTCACCATTCATACACTTCGCTATTTGATCTATAACATTATCTTACTCGTTTTTGAAAACCACTCTGAGTCCCCATTTTCCACCGATCACCAGGCTAGCATCTGATCTACATTTCGCCCATTCATATTTGTTATGACATTTTTGAAAGATTATACTATTATCTAATATGTTTGCCACTATATTGGTAATGTTGCTTTTCCTTGATCTTCAAAGTAGTGGGTTTGATTTTTTTTTGCATGTTACTTAAAATGTTTTTGACTTTGTTCTTCTTTGCTTGTTTTTCAATGTATGAGCTGCTCATCTTGTCCTTATTGTCATTTCTGAAAATCTTCTCCATCTTGTCCTTAATATCATGCTCTTGGTTATGGGGAAGTTTATAATCTTCCTTTCTAGGTTTTTGTTAACTATTGTGGGTTTTGGACAAGTATAAGGAACTTATATCCGAAGATTTGGAGATGGCATCAATAATAGGTATTCTCTTGTTTTCATATATAATATTGTTTCTAGATTGCCATATAATGTCTAAGATGTTAATGGATAGGATTAGATTATCCTTACTCATGCTAGCTATGGTGTCCTTTATCCAATATGTGAAAGAAGTGTGATGTATGTCTTGAAATTTAAGAGTTAATTGTGATACAAACCACACATACTTCACCCACAAGAAATTTTTTAGACACTGATCCAAGATTTCTATCCTTATATTACATTTAGGGTAGAAAAATCCACCTTAACACCTATGTAGATAAAATTATCCTTCACATGCAGGTAATTAGGTATGATTCTCCACAGGAGAAAGATCTGTCTAGGAGTAGCTTTACTATTCCAGACTATTTTCCAAAACTTTTCTTCATGCTTCATGTTTAAGCTCTATGGCTTGTAATTTATTTATCCATCATGTATACTTTTGTACCCTGATTTCACACTATAGCGCCCACCTTTCTTACCCATCCAAACTAGCCAATCATCTTATAGGTTATACAAATGAATCTTATGTATAGCCTCAGTATCAATTTGGATGAAAGTCTTAGAAATCAAATCCAGGTTCTAGACACATTTTCCCTTGTCAATTAGGTCCCTAGCTCTAATTGCCCTTGTCTCCAAGGGCTTTTGTTCTAGGAGTTTAAACCCACAATGACTTGGGATCTTGTTCTCTTCCCATATGTTAATCTTATTACCTTTTCCAATAAACCAACAAATACCTTTCTTAATTACCTCTATACTAAGATGTAAGTTTCTCCATAGGTGGTTGGGTCTATATCGCAGTTTGGCTTTAAGTATGTCATACTTGGGGAGATATTTAAATTTTATAAATCTATCCACAAGGGAATTGGGTTCAATGTGGAATCCCCCACTTTCTTAGCTAGCAAGGCTTTGTTGAAGTGAATGAAAGACCTAAATCTTAAATCTCCCTAGAGTTTTGATTTGCAAAGCTATTTCTATTTGCATCAATGTATCTTATTGTCACCCCACCAAAACTTAGCAGTTAGGTTATCCATATTCTTATATAAACCTTTTGTAATTCAAAATAAATAAATAAAAGGAAAAGGGAAAGGCGCCAACTGAGAAATAGTAACGCTTGGTCTCTAAGCCAATTGAAAAATAAAATAAACATAGAAAATGCAGTATCTTGGATTCAAAGTGAGGTCTCTGGTTGATATATTCCCTTGTTTTCAGGTATACCCGAGGGTATAGGTTGTATATATTTTTATTAAATTAAGCATGGCATTTCCAGAATATATACCTCGGCTATTGGTTGGTCAAGATGAAAGCTTTATCATAAAAAATATTATTTGTAGTGATGGAAGCAAGCTTCTAGAAGTTGGAATCTCCACTTTGATGAAACTGTAAAACAATATGGATTCATTAAAAATGAAAATGAACATTGTGTTTACAATAAGTTTTGCAGGAGCATAGTTATATTATGAATGTTATATTTAGATGAGGTGTTATATATCGAAAAAGACATCCTTAACTTGTAACAAGTTAAGAATTGGCTAAGGAACTAGTTTTCTATGAAAAATCACGGTGATTCAGCCTATATAATAGGAATACGACTCTATAGGGGTATGCAAAAAAACTCCATGGCCTAAGTCTTAGTACATACATAGTGTTGAAATGCTTTAGTAATTACGATTACAAGAAAGGATTCATGGTTATGAAACATGACTTAAGTTTATAAAAAAAATCAATCCTTTTCAACTAAGGAAAATATATACCTCATGAATAAAACTCAAATGAATCTGCAATAGGATTTATCATATATGTCATGATGTGTACTCGATCAAGTGTCTCATATGCTTTAAACATAACAAGTGATACTAGTCTGATCCCGATGATTCAATGGCAAGAATATCCTTAAATACTTGAGTAGGATCAGTGATTCATTATTTGTATATGGAGGTTAAGAAGAGATTGTGGTAATAAGTTACTAAGATGCTAATTGTCAAATAGATGAGTATAACTTTAGATCACAATCTAGTTATATATTTTGTCTAAATGGTGACACTATGAGATGTAAGAGTTCAAAGTAGGAAACAAACATTAATTCTACAAATGAGGCTAAGTACATTGTTGTCTCAATGGCAGCCTAGAAATTTGTTTAAATCAAAAAGATCATAACTAAAGTTGGCACAATCATTAACATTATGGATCTCATTGATCTCTAGAGTAATACTTATATAGTCACAAGCCTAAATAATTTAAATTTAGGCACACTCACACAACTTAAAAAAGAAAAACAAAAAACATTATTATATTAATATTAATAATGATAAATTAATTATTATCTCTCTTATTTTTACCTAATGTGAGTGTTCCCAAATACAAAAAATTGTGTTTGTGCCTATAAAAGTCTTGCTTTGATCTCTAATATGATAACAATGGTGACATCGCCTAAGTAAAGTTCCTATATCTCACCAACGGTCCAAAAACATGTTTAGGTGTTGAAATTCTGGTATTCAT